AAATTTTTTTCAATTATTAATTGGCAATTATCAATTAATTAATTATTAGGTGGGGTTGAGATGGAAAGTTAGTGTCCGAGTCGATCGAAGATACCGTAGCTCAAGTGCTAGAGCAGCGGCGTATTTAGCCGAAAGTCGTGGGTTCGAATCTCGGTTGAGACACTGACTTTTTTATCTCAATCAAAATCTTAATTAAAGATTAATTAATTGAAAAGTTATTATTATTATTATTATTTAAGTGCGTTTTAACGGCTAAGGTCATTTCACGCCCTAACATCTTAACTATTTAAAAACCTTCTATCTTAAGCTATGTCCTTTCTGAGTGCTATAAAACTCTGACTCCAAACATTCACTCAAGTGTTATATGTGAAATTGTTAGCGTTGATAAATCTCTGTAACTAAAGAAAATTACTTTAGGACAATTTGTAAGCCATTGGCATTATTGTTGTGTGAGATTGATAACATGTTGTTATCTCTCCTGGTGGTCGGCGTTAAGTTATCCGGCACCTTCTATTTGGACTACATGTCCGAACTGATTGTAAAGTTTTTTAAATAGTTTTTCAAGTAAGTTGTCGATTTATCATTATAAGTTATGTTTGCAATCTGTAACGAAACACTGATTGTAATTAACCAAAGTCCTGAGGAAGGCGTCAAATACAGCCGAATGCTCGATAGCAGAAAAACAAGTTGGTTTTTTTCACCTACATGGCTTCATGCCTGAACACGTTACTTCAATATTGATCATGAAGGTCGATGCTATACTCAACGATAGAATCTGACGTTAAATTTTTCCATAACTACGATTTGAAGGTCCTATTAAATTATCAAAATTGCGACTATGCGATAAAAAAAATTAAAACTAAGTTTTCAAAAACAATACAAGCGTATTACCATTCGTTACTTCTTATGTATTAATATATCAGTGATACATAGTTAATTCATCCATACTGATTTAGTCAGATTTAACGTAGATTGTACGTTGTTTCTCCTGACGACAAAGTATTATGCCTACTATAATTTACTCTTTCTTTACTGACTATTCTTTGTAAAAAATACAACTGTGATCGTTAAATTTTAAGTTACTCATGTAAAATATAACACATTCGTTAAAAACAATAGGAATTCTTCTACTGACAGCACTTAGTACAAGTTCAAAACATACAAATATAGATAAGAATTAGCACTACAGTACCATTTTTAAAATCTGAAAATTTTTAAAATTAAACTGTTTTTCTGTATTTTTGGCTTTTTGTCCACTGATCTTTGCTACTTCTTTGGAAAAATTACAACTGCGATCAATGACTTTTAAAATAGTGTGGTGTTTAGTGGCCGTTAGTTAATGATTATTTGGAGATCGTGAGATGCGCTCTGGTGTGACGTAGGTTTAGAAAAACATTTTCTTTGTCGTGCCAACGTTTCGATCTTTATTGAGATCATCTTCAGAGCTGAAAGTGTGCCGCTCAGTGTGGCACTCTCAACACATAATAATGACACGTGTGCACAGAAAACAAACACTTTGAGCCCTGAAGATGTTCTCAATAAAGATCGAAAAGTTGGCACAATAAAGAAAATGTTTTTCTAAGCCTACGTCACACCAGAACGCATCTCACAATCTCCGAATAATTATTACTAATTTCCCATCGTTGTGTCGACAATACAGCTCTGCGTTAGATTGTTGTAGACAATGGATTCTTCTATCGAATGGGTCGAGTTGGCTGTACAATATTGTACAATTTAAATATTCACTGTTCGTAGTAATCCGTTATATCGATATCCGTTCAATTCCTCTTATCGTTTTGCGTGCATATCTTCCTCCTCCCATTGGAATGTTCCTAAATCATTTTACAATTTGAATAGACATTGTAGAATCCAATTTCCGGGTAAGGAGCAGGGATATCTTGTAAGACAATCGACTTATCACGTGATACGTCCTATTAATATAAATATACTTCCTCAAATTAGATTACTTATTTAAATTACATCATAAAATCCCACTTGGTTTGATATATGAAAGCTTACCAATCTTAACATGTAGATTGTGCGGGATACAATATTTCATCTTGCCTGTGTTTCCTTTCATCAACATTATCAACATTGCACGAAATATATTAATTTATTTAAAAGTTGAGGGCCTTAATGTATTCATAAACTATTGTGGAACTCAGAACTTGGTGCAAGAAAATTTAAAAGGTTTACAGCTCACTAACTTGTAGAATGAAACTGTTGAAGCGAGTTAAAAACAGCAAACTAATTGTAGAATGAAACTGATGAAGCGAGTTAAAAAAATATGTGTTTTCTTTTAGTCAAATTTAAAATAGTTCTGTTCTTATGTTTGATGACCTATAATTTGTTCTACTTGTATAAAGTTTATATAATTGAAAACTCTCAAACTCTTTAAATATCAACTATAAATATACAGGGGATCTCTATTTCAATGCGACACCACCCACTTTTCTTGAGTGAACGAAAGTTTAAATAATAAGCCGAAAGTTATTCCCGACGGTCAACACATTTTTTAACGACATAGTAATAAGTTATTGAGAATAAACTGTATTTTTTTAAATAATCCCTACTAATTTTTGATTCCTTTTCAAAAAGCAAAATTTTCAATAGAAAAAATAACACTAAGAAGGAAATTAGGATGGTTGTTTATTTCGTGAGATATTTCATCTCAAAAGAAGTTTTCCATAATTTCAATCTGGTTCAATCAAAAATAAACAAACATTTTGGTAATTTTATCTCTTACGTGTCTTAATACCAAAAAAATTCTTAACCTGTGGGACTTTCAAACTAGGACGGAAGAAAATCTTTGGACAGTATACGAAACTCGTCATCTAAACTATTTTCAATTAATGTTTCGCCATAATTTGAAAAAATTAATCCGTATTTCTACCTAAACAACTTGGAAGGAGAATTTATCAAAACTTTTTCGTATGACCAGGATTATTGAAGTACCATTGAAGACACGTCCCCTTTTCAACTAGACGACTGTACGGCATCATAATAACACAGGATTGTTAGCATAATGACTGAAATGTAAATTAATTATTCTTTTTAGGTAAGGTCTTTGTTTAGATGAAAAAGTCAGCGACACGATCGGGAATCGAACCTTCGGCTCAATACGCCGCTGCAACCACGTGAGTTATCGCGACTTAATCAGCTTTCTTGGAAAATGTATTGGAAACTCGATTTCTTCGGCAGATCCTGTCTCCCGATTTAACCTCGCTAGATTATTTCCTGTGAATCGGTAAACGTACCCTTCTCATTTCTGTCCAAGAACTTAAAGAACGTGTAATCGAAGCCTGCCATAATCGTCCCAAGTCAATCGCTGATGTAACAAACGAGCCGTGGTTGTCGAGAGCGCACAATTTTTTGGCAGTCACTGGCGGACAATTTGATCAGTCAAACTAAAAAAGGTGAGTAACAATGAAAATAGTCCTTAGAACAACATTGACAATAGTTAAATGGAGCTAAATTTTTCTTAAGAAGGTTTAAACCACTCGTTTTCGAGGAACTGAAATTGTCACCCGAGTGTTACGAATTTTTAACGTTATATTAATTAATTAATTTATATTACTTAGATTTGACATAATTTTAATTATATTTTTCATTTACCAATATTCCTTAACTACGTTTATTGAGATAGCACCGCTGCGCTTCTAGGCAACAAGTAAATATTGCTGAAATCTAAATTAATTATTGTTTTTAGCTAAGATTGAGACGAAAAAGGCAGTGGCACGAGCGGGATTTGAACCCACTACCTTCAATTCAATACGCCGCTGTTCTAACCACATGAGTTATCGTGAATTCGAACCACTCAGCCACCAACCGATGGGTTCGGATCCCGCAGTGACACTAGCTTTTTCATCTCAACCAAAACCTTAGCGAATAATAATAATTAACTGAAATAATTAATATGTCAAATTAATATTCTTTTTATCTAACATCTTCGATCCGCTCGGACACCAACTCCTCATCTCGGCATAAACCCTTTTGAATTTTCCCCCTTTTTTCCATTTTTCAAATGTCATGTCACCAGGATTCGATTCTCAGCGACTTATGAAATAGCCACGGGGTGCTGTTAGAAAGTGATTACTTCCTTAAATATTATATTAATGATAATTGGCCATATTAGTTATGTCAATTAAATATTCTTTTATCTCAAGTGGTTAGAGCAGCGGTGTATTAGCCAAAGGTCGTGGGTTCGAATCCCGCTCGTGACCCTAAGTTTTTCATCTTAAACAAAATCTTAAATTAAAAGAATATTTAATTGAAATAATTAATATGGCCAATTATGACAACTAAACATATATGGATTACTGAAATTGTTGCGTGTTAATTTGAATTGTGGAATAAATATATTATTTTAGGTATCATACTCTTTTAAAAAGTCTGATACCCACTCCTTGAAATCTTTGCTTTGATTTTGTTTTTTTACAAGCAAGCAAATCCCGCTTAGCCATAAATGCCTTATGGTATAAAAGCATTATATCGTCTCGGATTACCAGGAAATGCTATGAGGCATTTTGGCTCAAAGGTTGCTGATATTTACAATAAATTATAAATCGTTTTGAACTAGTAATTGATTGATGCTTCATAGTATTGGAGGTAGTAATTACCAAAAATGCGTAAAGTCAGCCTCTTTACGACCTTGCGCACCGATAAATATTAAATATTATCATATAAGTAGATACAATATCTTTAGAGAGATTTCCGACTATTTAAAGGACCGATATCCTGAATGGGAGTAGAAGTGTGAGTTTGGATTGCAAGTACCCAAATGGTACTTTTCGATTTGTAAGCTGAAAATACTTTTTGTCAATATCCTGTTCAATATATATAAATGCTATAAATGAGAAACCATTTTTTGGATTAAAAGATATCCTCTTATTTAACGTCGTTACATAATTAACGTTTAATAACACGTTTTTTATGTCACCTGGTGTAGACATTGTATTTGTTCAGTTTTGTTCGATTATATGGATTTAGTCGCAACCTACCTTCAATGTCACGCTGTCTCGCATGCTCCTTCATCACATCCAAGTTGATGGAACACTCGTTGTGATCGTGGAATGTGTACGGTGAGGTCTCACCGGGGCAGACTGGCGCAGATCCGCAGCGACACGTGCCCGATATGACATTGCAGCCGGATACGTTTTCCGGCGAATTACAATGTACGTCCGTTCCGGGAACCCCTGGAAAAACAAAACAGAATAAAGACACTCCTTAAGAAACAGAACAATTATTAGAATTTAAAATGTATAATAATGCGTCCCGCCACTCATAAATTATAGATATATTATGGTTTACCGAAAATTTTTAAGAATTATTTTACTCTTTTCAAACTGAAAATGAGACGTGAAAAATATCACCTACAAGAATTCTAAAATTCTTTTTTTCTAAACCATTTGTTACCACTGAACCACTGAACTGAAGTAAGCAAAACTGTTGAAACATTGAGTATGTTCTGTGAAATGCCACAAGAAGTATGAACGCATATACAAAAGGACGTGTAAGGCATATGAATAACGTTCATCCAGTGACGTCCTCCAACAGGGCGGAGATCACGTGACATTGTCCCTTTTCCAATAGACAACAAAGATTGCGCGTGGTCATCCGACGAGGATCGGCGGATAGTGTTGTGGATCGGATTAAGGGATTTGAGTGATCAGGTAATTAAGAACGACCATTTTTGTACCGAAATTTGGCAAGGTCGGATATTAATGGGATTTTAACGTCGGTGTGAATTGTGTGGTTAGAGACATAGAAGAGAGCATTAACTATTATACGAAGAATTTTAGATTGTCTGTTAAGATTGGAACACTTAGCGGTTTCGCACAGTTCATGTGCATAAGGGGGCTACCAGAGAAGTGCCTTGTCTTTTTCTGTTTGTTAATGTGTTAATTTACTCATTTAAGCAGTCTGAATCTTGTATTTAAACGTTTACGTTTGAGACCTCTTATAAGGATTGCATTTAAGTGGTTTGTCGAGGTACAGTCCGAGGTATAGTACAGTAGAGTAAAAATAATGTATTTAGATTTAGCGTGTACCTTGATTCTCTAGTGGCAGGCAAGAATTCAGTTGTGTGAAAACAACGTGATTCTATAACGAGATCTTTATCTGAGATAAATATTGATGTGTCATCGGCAAAGATAAAACTGAAAGTGTTAGGAATAGGTGGTGTAATTGTTTAAAGGAGATGAGCTCTCTACTCGGTAGGATACCAGCGATAATTTGGTAAATGGAGGAACAGAAAGTGTTTTGGACAGGGTGAAATTGACGGTCTATAAGATAGTTATACAGAATAGAGTTCAGAATGCATCGAGATCATGTCTCCAATAGATATCTTCTCTTTAAAGCCCTAGACCACTCTAAGGAAATCATTAACCCAAATGTTCAAGCTAGTGGGTCTATAAAATTTCCGACTATTCGATGGCTTCTTAAACTCAGATGCGAGTAAGTGTTCTTCAATTCTGTGCCAGGGAAGGAAGACGACGGAAATTTCTTGTGCAAGGACTGTAACCTAAGAGTTAGGGAAGATATCTTTCATTTTGTTGCCCAGTGTCCCATACTGGCTGAACTCCGTATCCTGTATCTAGGGTATAAATCGCTTTCCAGCTCTCAGCTGCTTGATCTGTTAAATATCGTGGATGTGGAGAGATCGAAAGGTCTAGCACACTATGCACATCATGCCTGGCAATATAGGTACGATTATAATACCGAGTCATAATTGTTTAACTTGTATCTAAAATCAGCTAGTTTTTATAATTTAGTTTTTACTTATAGTTTTCTATTATTACTATTATTATATAGTTTATTATTATTTTTTATTGAAGAGACATGCTGTGACGATAATTGATTTTAAGATTATTCAGAAATCGTGGGATGCGGTTAGATGTGATGTAGTTTCAGAAAAGCATTTTCTTTATCGTGCCAACGTTTCGATCTTTACAAATACTTTGAGTGAGTAGAAATACTTGATCGAATTTACAAAATATATTTTGCATTGTATAAATTCACTTTTTTCCACATCCTACATGTATTTGTTAAATTTAAACAATGTTTGTAAATCCCAGGCCCTGATCTCAATAAAGATCGAAACGTTGGCACGATAAAGACAATGTTTTTCTGAAACCGACATCATATCAGAACGCATCTCACGATTTCTGAATAATCTTCGACTGACGGTCACTAATCACCACACATTGATTTTAAGGTAGTTTGGAAAGAATTTTAAGGGTAATCCGGTCGTACCCAAGATTTTTCATTTTCTGGAGATTACAGGTGCCTGCTTGACTTCCTTTGGAGAAAATGGTTTGAGGGGAAGGGAAATTGGTCGGAATTTGTGAAGTTCGTTGATAATGTTAGTGGAGTGTACTGAGTCGTATATGTTAGGGTGTGGAGTGCATATTTTTGTTTAATATTGGGCTTGTAGTTATGATTTATCCTCGTAAGATCCGTATTTTCGTTGAAAGGAGTAGTATGTGTTTTTCTATTTCAGTAAATTTTTTAATCGCAATTCATAATCAATTGTCTTCAGTGATCAATGACTCAGTTTGTGTGGGAATTGACTGTTGAAGGGGTATAATTCTTTAGTCAGTTTTCTAAAAAGTCTGTTAAATGTTAGTTTGTCATTTGTCATAAATTCTGCATTACCTTATTAAAGATTTTGTAACTTTCAAGAGCTAACAGTCCTAAAACCCTTTTAAATTAATATTTTATTTTATAAGTAAAATAAGTTTCATATTAATATACAATACATCCATTTATAATTTTTATCTCTTGAAAATGGTAAAAATATACAAAACTCCATTGAGAGTGCCCCTTTACACACGCTAATACTTCAGGTGTGTATCTTACAAACCGAATTTAATTAAATAGTCCTTATTATTCAAAATCTGCTCCTCAATTTTATTGGAAACATTTCACATATCAGGTTATTTCAACCGGTCACAACTTTAATCCGTAAAGGCGAACTTGTCTTATAAAACATCAAATTTGATTACACCAGTGAAAAGAGCATTGAAGATGAGATTCATTTGTTTTTTAGTGTAAACATAAGTTAATAAAATACTAAACCATTGCTAATAACGTAAGAGCAGATAATAAATTGTTAGTTAAATTTTAAGCTATCACTAAACAATTTTCCGGTGTTTGGTGAATTTTCTATCCAACCAAAGTAATTAAATAATTTTAATTAAAACTCATTAATTTCTGATCTCGCTTGATTTCGTTTACATTAAATAATCATTTTTAATTAATATAGCGATAAAAATACAATATGTATTGAAATACGAGAGTCAGTTTTTTTGGTTTTGAGTATCTTTTGAAAGTTCTAATAACCAATAATGAAATTAATATAAAATTACGATAGAAGAAGGGCAGGATAACCTTTTGAAAGTATTACAATCCGTCAGGAAACGCTATCGTACTTCATGATTCTTCAAAAAAGGTGAAAATTTTCAATATTTAATTTAATTTTAGATGAATTTTTCTCGTTTAAATTTGCCGCACACAATTTTAGTTGATTATTTTGTATTACATTGAAAGATTTTTATGAGAAATTTCAAAATTTCTCAAAATAATGAACATCTTTTTGAAACCGTTCGTTACCAATAATCCTATTTTTAGTAATTAACGTTTTCCTGGTTGGTTGAAAATTAAAATTTAAAAATTAAGTTCATGTATTTGATGGTTTGTTGGTCAATAAAAGGTGCAAGTTTTCTGTAAACACCATATCTGTCGTTATTTACAGAAACAAGAAAATCTAACTTAAACTTTCGACAACTTCGGAAACTCGTATAAGTTTATGTTCTAAGTGATTTAGGGTTTTATTTGCTTAATGTAACAAAAAATAAACAATAAATCTCATAGGATTTCAATGCTCTGTTCACCGGCTTTAATTAATTTTACAGTAAGAGCAACTTTGAGAAACACTTGAACTTTACAAAATCAAGTTTTGTAAGGTTGAAATAACACAAAAAGTAAAACTTCTCGAATAGAAAGGAAAAATGAAAAAAACATTCTAAAGCATCGACGTCTTTTACTAGGACACCCTGTATGTATATATAAATATATATATATATATATATACAGGGTGAATTGCTACTCGTGCTACAAACTTCTCCAGTAGATTCTTCACCCTAAAATGAACAAAAAAGTTCANTATGAACTTTTTTGTTCATTTTAGGGTGAAGAATCTACTGGAGAAGTTTGTAGCACGAGTAGCAATTCACCCTGTATATATATACATACAGGGTGTTTACCTCAGCTGTTTGTCGGCCCATATACCTATATACATATATATATACCCATATACATATATATATATATATATATATATATATATATATGTGTGCCTAGGTATATGGGCCGACAAACAGCTGAGGTAAACACCCTGTATATTTTGTAAAATGTGATATTTACGCTTGGTTTTTATAGAAGCTTCAATTTGTATTTTTTACAAAACTTTAACTAATTTATTATTATATATCTATTTACCAAATTAAGTAAGAAGTTCCTGGTTAAGTATTATACTACGCTCTATAAAGATTTGATAGACGTTAAATGTGTGCTGATTAGTGAGACACTCTCAACACGACACACAAGAATGGCACAATTATGCAGAAAACAAACACTTTGAGCCACGAAGATGATCTCAATAAAGATCGCAGCGTTGGCACGATAAAGAAAATGTTTTTCTAAAACTTACGTCACTCCAGACCGCATCTCACGATCTCTGAATAATCATAGACATTAAAGTTTAAGTCCAGAACAAATATTAAAATTGTTTTAGTTGTTTTACAATAAATAACCGTTTTATCATTGTTATGCTAAGAGGGAAGATGTTATTATATAACAAATATCAATCTTATGATAAATCTTAGTATCTTAAAACACAGCTAAAACAATAAAGGTTCACGGAATATTAGAATTCCACCTGCTGATAAACGTTCCACAATTTGATGTTCATCCAAGCCTGTGAAATTGTCAAAACGCATTAATCTTCCAAGAGAAGATGCAAGAGCAATCTTGAGTAAAACGTAAGATCAATATACCACGTAACAGCCAGTCGGATCTGAACGCTTTAAGCCTTTACCATTTGAAACTAACCTGAACTCCCGCAAACTCCTGAGGAAACATAATTAGGTTACTCTAATGTTCGTTTCGGGACATGGGGTATAGAACGAAAGGA